ATCGTATTCCGATCCCGAAAACAAGTAAGGACCCCTCACCCTATTTCCTATCACGGTATTAAAGTTCAAAATGATAAAACGGTATTTCTTGAATTAACGCATGTGTGAAATTGCTTAAGGTTGCTAATGGAGCCCGAGTCTAGTGTGATTGATGATTTACTGTTATTTGGCCTGTTTTACACTGTTTTACAGCTTTAAATGCATTATGGGGTTTGATGTGTTCATTTTATAGCTTCGAATGCATATATTACTGTTTTATTGATTATGGGTTGAATGACTGAAGAACTGATACTGTATGTTGTCTGTTCGGCATGAATTACGATTTGCTTGTTTAAATGTGAATTGATAATGCTTATTGAGGAAAAGGGAAATGAAACATTGTATAGACTGATAATTGTATGATGGGGTCAGCCTGACTAGATATCCTGGGAGATGGTGGACGGACCGGGTCCGTAGGGAACCCTACCGGGATTGGGGTCTCACATGCCGGACGGGGTATGGAGATCTTATGATTTTGGCGCCCATACCGGACGGGGTATGGGGACGGCCCGTTTCACCCTCATACCGGACGGGGTATTGAGGTTTATGGTTTTGGCGCCCATACCGGACGGGGTATGGGGACGGCCCTGGAAACTGATTATGAATGTTAAAGGTTAACGGGTAGCGGGACCCCTAGGGACCCCCATGGATACTAGTAGGCTGGTAAATGAGAAACGGATATGTTGTATAATGATTGAATTACAAAAGGCGTGATAAGTGCTATGTTTTACAGCTTATATTATTCCATGATTGTGATAATGTTATTATTTTTCTTATATTGTTTTCATAAATTCCACCGAGGTAAGTGGATGGTAAAGGTTTTCATGTTAATAAACGAGTTTATTGTAAATTATGCTCCATTGGTCTTTTTGTGTTTTTCTACCCACCTTTACCTCCGTGACGGTGAGATATCGTGATGTTCTTACTGGGCTAGTGTAGCTCACTCCTTATTTAACCATTTCAGATCAGGAAGACATGGTTCCCGAGCCCGTTCCGCAGGAGGACGACGAAGGGGATACCTAGAGACTCTGTAGTCATACTCATAGTTTTATTTTCGAGTTTCTCTCTTAGTTAGTTTAATCTTTTATATTTTAAGTACGTTTCTGGTTTTTCGTGTAAGGGATGTTAACTGAAATTTTGATCTCGCTTCCGCATTTGATATATTTAAATACTCATTTCATTTTAATGTTTCCGGGGCCATTACACATTTAATAGTATACTATATTGTCACTTAGATGTAGCTTTTTAAAATCTTTAATTTTTTGAAATTGAATACTTGTTTAGTAACAAAATAATTTATATTTTACTATCATAAAAATTTTAATTCAAATGATATGTGGAGCAGAATCAATAATTACAATATACTTTTATTATTACACATGATTTAAGGTTATTGTTTTACGTAAGATGTGATTAGTGTTATATAAGTATTAAAAAATAATATTATATGTATATATACATGAATAGATAATGAGTTGATGGTTGAGATAGTTCATGTCAAATCACTATGGATGAAATGGACTTGTTGTGGCTTGTTATTGAAAGGTCAATCTAAAATTTCAAGCACTTACTACTTTTAGTATTATGCATAAGTAATTAAATATAATTCTAATCTTATTTTAATTACTCACCCATAGTTTGGTTAATAGTCAGTGGTTATTGCCATTTCCTCTTGATCTACTCACCGTCCAAATCTAATATCTTATAACAGATTTTACTTGCTTGTTTAGTGAATATTAATATAGTTTTTGTTTAAAAATTAATAAATATGAATTTAATTATGTGTAGATTTTATCCTAACAAAACGTATAAGATCATATTTGGTGATACTTACAAGAAGACCAAAAAAAAAAAAAAAGAAAAAGGTTTAAGCACCTAATTTTGACAGCAATAGCAATAAATCCATGCAATTGTTATCATCATCACTTGGTTTTAGCAAGCAAGCAATCATGAAAATTATAAGAAATATGGTAAAAAGATGGTAAATTGAGATTAATTTATAAGTAGTATATGGTAATCTAATTAAATTGTATTATATGGTAATCTAATTAAATTATAAAATGTGACCCTTGAAAGAGAAGAGATTAATTTCCCAAATCAAGTATTATATGGTAATCTAATTAAATTGAAGGTAAATTGTATCCGGATAAAAAGGGTAAATTATTGAAGTTTTTCAAAAAAAAAATAAAAAAAAAATTTGGGTATGATTATTCTTGAATTCATTATGTTTTAAAATAATAGTTTTAGTTTCTATGCAATCCATGTAAAAGTTTCACTTTAAACGAGAAGAATGAATATATATTTATATAAAATAAAAATTGCATAAATAAATAAATAATTAATAAATAATTATTGCAACTAACTTTTCCTACCTGCTAAGTGCACATTGTTATATATGAATTAAAATAGTTTATACATCTAGATAACTTTGAAATTATATACATATTTTTTATATAGATTAAAAAAAAGAGATACGAATATTTATTTTAATGATTATTAAAAATCTTATAACGTAATACATATGCGGATTGACTGACTTACGATAAATTTAGATAGAATTTTATTTATATAAATAAATAAATAAATTATATAAATAAAAATATGTTAGTTTATATATATTTATTATAAAATAAAATTATAAATTAATGAAGAAAAATAAGTTTAATCTTTAAAATATGTATTAATTTTACTAAAAAAATACCCATTTATCATAAGATGATGAGATTGTAAATTAATGAAAAATTGAAGAAAAATAAACTTTTATCTTTAAAATATGATAAATATTATATAATCACCCGACTGTATATGGCAGTTTAATTACGCATGCAGCATAATCTAAATTCTTTAATCAAATTCCTTTTCACTTTTCTCCCAAGACCCACCCTTAATATTTTATTATTTTCTTTTCCAACGGCTCAAAATCTAACGCCAACGTCTCTCTCTCTCTCTTCTGGAACAGAAACGAAGAGCGCACTTCATCTCCTGCCTCTGTTTTTTTTTTTTATTTGTTTCATGAAAATAAATAAAGAGTGGCTCTGTTTTTCTCCTCCCATTTTTGACCTAATTACGTTACAATCCGTACATGACAGAAACACTAATTATAGTCTCTGCAAACACCTATGAGGTAATACCAGTGGTTGACGCACGACAGAAAAGATATACGTTTTCTTCGTTTGTTTTTTTTTGGTTTCTCTCACGAATTTTTCGGACTTTCCCAATTCTAGAATAAAACAGGCTATCCTTTACTTCTCCCTAATCCAAGTTTCGTTTTATCGATTTCCCCACCCATGTTGTTTCCACAACCCAATTGGAAATGGGTTCGTCTGAACCACCGTTGATATCCCCTCCTGGGGAAATAATTACCGCAGAGTAACGAGAAATACAGGATTCTGCACTTCGGTGGTATCCGCCATTTTTAAAACTGGCGTCGTTCCAGGTGGAAATCGCCTCTTCTACGCCCTTTGGTTACGTCCTCAGGGACTGCAACCGCCGTGAGAGATGCAGAGAAAGTAATGTTAAAGCTGTGCAGGCGGCTTTTGAGAAGAATCTCAAGGTGCTCGTGAGAGATCATCTGCAAAGTTGTATCTCTGTCGACTCTGGCTCTCAAGAGAATTCTCCTAATCAAATTTATTCATGGGTCGGTAGCCAAGACCTCAACAATCGTCAGAATAGCTTCAAAATCTCCACCAACGATAACAAAAACAACAATATTGGAGAAGATGATTGTTTGCAGAACACCAACAGGCCCTCGCGTGTTCTTGATCGTTGGCCTGCAAGAGCAACAGCTGATAAACCGGCCTTGGAGAGGCAAGCATCGTCACCCAGATTATCCACTCCACGAACCGCAACATCATCCCCAAAAACATTGATTTCCAAAGAGGAAAGCTCAAACAATTCTCAGGGTCCATCTGAGAATTCCTCCAGAGTCGAGAATCTGGGAGCTTCCTCGCTCGTTCAGATATGGGAAGCGAGGATGAACCGATCAAACAGCATAAATGCGAGCCAAAGCCAAGGGATAAGCTCAAGCAGGACTAGTTCTGGTTTGAGCAATGTTGAAAGCGCACCGTCCAATGAAGAAGCGGCCAGAGGGTCTGAAGTGGGTGAATCTTTAGATGAAAAAGACAATAACCAGAAAAGTAATGGGGATGCCATGAGGGAAAGGGAGTCACAATCTGATGTAACAATCCAGAGCCAATCACCCTGTGCTTCACATGGCAGGGCTTCGTTAGGAGAGAGCGAAAGACCCAGAGTCGCTGATATAGTTAGGAGATTGACGTCTGGAAGCGATGATTGCAGTGATCATGAGCAAGGTAACTCTGTAAATGAGTCGCCAACTAGAGAACGCAAGCAATCTTCTGCACCGGATCAAGTAGAGCAAAGGTGTGCACCGCCGGTGATAACGACTGGGGCTCGGATAAGAGGACGACAAGCTTTCACAGATTTGCTGATGCAGATTGAACGTGACAGAAATAGGGAGTTAGAGTCATTGGCTGGGCGCCAAGCAGTTTCAAAATTCTCCCAACGTGGACGTCTTCAGGTAAAATGCTTATTCATGGTGTACAAGCGTAGCACTTACAATTTAATCTCTCTGATTTCATATGGCTGCATGTTGTTGTTTTTATATGCAGGCAACACTTCGGCTTAGAAGTCTAGAACGCTGCTTGGCAATTCAAGATCGACATCGCTCGAAGATGACTGCAGCTGATGTGAGCCGATTACAGCAAGGTTCTGCAGCCATGCTCTGGAGGTAGTCCCTGTTTCCTCTGCCTTTTGTGTTGGCTTTTGTTCAAGTCTCATAGTAAATTAAGAACAGTTTAAAAGAACAATCCTAATCCTAATAGGGTTTGAACATTAAAATTAATCTAATAGGACTTGTCAATTTAGTAGTAGAAGTTAGTAACTTCTTTTTCTTAGTTAGCAGAGACTAATAACAGAGTGATAAGGAAAGAAATTGGAATTTCTTGTAAGGTAGAGAAGAGAGAGTTGTGATTGTACGGTCGCTTGGTTGGCAGAGTTTACTTAGAAAACTGCCTGCTCTCTTAGCCTGTCTAAGAGAAGATAGCAGTGATGAGGTGACTTAAAGGTGAGACTGGATGTTTGAGAAAAGCATGAAAATTCTGACTATTACACATTAAAGCCTACTGCATATCCCCTTGAGTAGTTGAGTCTTCTAGGTTAGCTATAACCCAGGAAGAAGACAGGATTCCAGAAGAGATATTGCTAAGTTGTTTATCTTTATTTTATAAATTCTTGACTTCAGTGAGGTTTGCAAGTTTTGTGTTCACTTAAGATGATCTACTTCGCAGAAGAGATGAATGCAGATTCATTATGAAAAATTTTAGAAATTAAATTTTGCTTTTTCTCAAACCAAAGTCCTAATACACTCAAATCTGATGAAATTAGCTTACTCATATAGATGTATATGTACACGGCATTGTAGGGAAAAAGAAATCCTAAGATACATGAAACATACTAGATTTATTGATATCTATAATCTTATGAAGTGGAGACACTATGACAGTATGTTAAAGACTTTTGAAGTTAAGAATGAGATTGAAAACAAATCAACTTAGTATCTGCTTGTAGTATATTGAAGCTTTCATTGTATAAGAATTATTCAGATGTTCTTTTGGTATGCTGATGCAATGTGCTTTTATTAACACGGCATGTAAATTAAATGCAGAGAGAAAGTTCGAGTGAATGTTGAGCAGAACAAGGTAGCTCAGCCTGATGCAAGAGCTCTAAGCATAGAAAATCTGAACAAAACAGTAGAATCACAAAATTCTTCAAATGTTTCTAAAAATTTTGAAGCAAATAACTGTAATGGAGCTTTTACTGGTGGAGAATCAAGCATAGTTCCAACAGAAGAACCAATGTCTGACACAAGTAAAGAGCAAACAAAGCCAACCATAAGTGAAGAGCAGGGAATGTCAAGCACAGTCGAAGAACAAGTACAAGCCATGTCAAGAATAAGCGAAGACCTTCAAGAGGCAGCTAGTCAAACTTGTTCTGAGGTTAGTTATTCCCACTCACGAGAAATAGCAGAGACAGCATTATCTGATGACTGGCATGAAAGTGAAAGAGCAGATGAAGAAGAGGTCAACAACCAGCAGCATCTGAATGGCTGGGATGAAAATGAGACAGAAGAAGAGGATGAAGAAGATGACGATGATGACCAGCACTATTATGTAGATAACAGTTATGACTGGTATACAGATATCTCTCGCCCTAGGAGTTACTGGGAAGAACTGAGGCAAGCATGGTATCAGGAGGTGCTTAACACCAGCTCAGAAAATCAGGAGATACGACAACTACTTGAAAGGTATACTGTAATACTATGACACTAATCACTGAGTTTCTGCCTTTCATTTTGCTTGATTCCCTCTCAATTCGTACCTGTATATATCCATGGTCTTTTAAGTTTCGATAAATTACAATGTAAAAGTGATGTTCACTGGTTGCTCTCTTTTCTACAATAATGTGTTTAGTTTCTCTATTGAGGGAAAGTTGCTTTGATAAATTTTCTATTACATACGCCTTGTTACTGAAGAATTGTTTGAGACAAAATGAAGAAACAGTAGGATCATACTGCATAACTCTGAATTTCCGATTTATGTGCGCAGAAGAACAGTCTCAACATTTCTTGGAAGTGATATGCGAGAGAGAATGGATAGGTTGATGATTTCTCGCATTCAAATCCAAACAGATATGAAGGCCAATCAAGAAGAAGATTCTGAAGATGAAGATGCTCAAGAAATGGCAAACCAGTGGATGTTGTCATACTTGCAGGGAGACACGGATGCAAGGTACAGACAAGAGGAAGAAGAAGGGAGGCACGATGTAGAAGTAGAGCGAGAAGAAGAACACCAACTAGAACAAGAAGAAGAAGGAAGACATCAGGAAGAAGAAGACAGAGAAGAAGAACAGGTAGAAGATGACGATGATGACGAAGAGGTAGAACAAGAAGAGAATCTCTTTAATCATCAATATTTTGAAGCTTCGAGTGATTATTTCAGCCAATCCTCTTCCCAACTGTTTCCATCATCTCCTATGAGGTCATGGACTTACAGAGATCAGGAAGTAAGTGATGATTCTGATCAAGTTACATCCGAATCTCAGCTTACGCCATCTCAGCCTCATTCTTACTCTAACAATAGATCAACCTTCCTCGTTCCCTGTAAATCAACCTTCAACAGTGAGTTTATTTCAACAATGTTTGATTTTTCTTGTCAAATTTATAGTCGATGAAATAACAAGACTAAACATGCAGGAAATGGAGCTCGTGTATGACTTAAGAGGACATATGCAGCAGCTTCAACGTGAGATTTCTGAGTTAAGAGATTCAATAAAGTGCTGCATGGAAATGCAGCTAAAGTTGCAGCAGTGCATTAACCAGGAAACTCTTTCAGGTGATCTGGGGAATAGTAAATTTTGTGCTCTCTCTCTCTCTATCTCTCCCATTAACATTGTGTTTGGATCGAGGGAAGTGGGAGAAAAGAAAGAGAAGGAAGGGATGCTCAAGTCTTTCTCTTGTTTAGTTAAAAAATAATAATTAGAGAAGGAATTGATAAGACACTGACTTTTCTACTCGTCCAAATTGGACGCAAAGGAAGGAAAAAAGAAAAGGGATTAAACATTATAAGAAAAATTTTCTCCACACAGTTCTTACTATCTAATTTGTCATTCTATTAAACGTCAACCTTTAATTGCAGTTAGAGGGGATGAGAAGAGGAATTCAGCTGATAAGGCCTTAGTGAGACGCAACTGTTGTATTTGTTTTGAAAAGAATGTCGACTCACTTTTGTATCGGTAAATAGCAATTTGAATTTGATTTTCATGTCTGTCTTGAAGTGGATCAAAACTGGTTAAATTCAATCTGTCATTTTCATTTTCAGATGTGGACACATGTGCACCTGCCTCAAGTGCGCTCATGAACTGCAATGGAGTAGTGGAAAATGTCCAATATGTCGAGCTCCAATAATGGATGTCGTCCGAGCATTCGTGGATTCATAAATAAACCTGTAAACGAGTTCTTGCTCAAGAGGACCGTCTTCATTCTCTAACTTGCACCGCATGAAGCATGAATCAGAACGTGAAACTCTTTTTTGTTTTGTTTTGTTTTGTTTTCCTTCTCTCTTAATTTCTTGATCTCGCCTAATGACATCATTCTAGCTTTTTACATGACAAGTTGTTTAACATCACAACCTTTGCACATAATCTTTGTACATGCTCTGTTTTTTCTTCCTTCGCTGTGAAAAATGACACTGACAAATCTCTGTCACCTTCCTTTCTTTTAGCAGTTTGGTAAAGCCTGTATGGATTTTTAAACAGGGGAATATCTTCTGGAAATTATTATGCCTAAAAAATCTATAATACATTTAAGTATGATAAACGTGAGATGTTGCAAAATTGGGAGTTCAAAAAACATGGATTAAAATATAGTTCATTATTTGAAAACTTGAATTCTTGTTTATGATAAGAACTCTCTCTCTCACTTGACTTTCCTTGGTGGTGAGAATTCAACTCCCATCTTGAAAAGTTGAAAGTAATGAATCATGTGTGGTGGTAGTATTATAAGTAGTGAGTGAAATTAACGAATTAATGTTTTTAATTAACGAATCATTCTTCACCATCCATCATTTTATTGCGTATAATCAATCAAGTAATGTAGTTAATAACAGCAGCTGTACACCTAATTATGGTAATCTCTCCTTTACGTGGTTTTCTACATAATAATTATATAAGGCATACATTACACTTGTACGCGAGTCATAGCTGATACATCATTAACCACAAAAGATTTATATTAAGTAAATTTTATTATGTATTAAGCCTGCAATTAAATACTTTAATAATTAAAGACGTTAAGGCTTTATTATGAACGTAACAGAAAAGTTTGCGACTTACTCGAGGATATAAAAAATTAAACAGGTGTTAATTTCTTATTTTTAAAATAATTTTATATCTAATGTAATAATATATATATATATATAAATTCTTTTATTTATTTTCTAATATAAAAATAATTTTAAATAAAATGAATATGATAATACATAATAGTTACTTATTTAAATATTTCAAAATAAATTTTGAATATGATTATGCTTCTATTTGATTTGTTTTTACTTGATTATATAAACTCTTAAACCATACACTGTATAAATTATTGATCACTTTTATTTATCTTACAAATCTTTTTTCAAAATTTAAATATAATAATTTTTAATTAACTACAGATCATATACTCTATAATTTTAAATATAAAATAATTTTTAATTTAACTATAATTTATAAGTATATAATTAATTTTAAAAAAATTATAATCCACGTACAACAGTGGGGTAAATAAAGTAACAACAATTTCATGTTGGCAGATTTTATTTGAAAGTTTGGGGCCACGTTATTGGGCTTGGACAGAAAAATGGACTGGTCTGATTGCAATGGTTTTTAACTCACTAAATTAAATACAAATACATTATGTTGATGTCATTGTGGGGGGTAAGAAATTAATAAGTTTGTGAAGCTTTATGCCTTACCATGATGTTAAATACTATAAAGAAACTATTTGCATTTGATTATTACACAAATATATATATATATATATATATGTTTTCTGTTTCGATGTGTATGTATATATATTATGTGCATGCCCGTTATACATATATAATATATTATATATCAAATATATATTGTCTTGAGACGATGAGACCTCAACGAGGGCACCTGAGGAATGAGCCTCTCAAAGTTTATGTGTTCTTGCTATTTATTTCATTATCCTTATTACCTAAGAGGTTAAGCTAATAATCATATAATCAAACAACTTATTAGCAACAACATATTTAATATTTACGGTTTGTTTATTCAATTTTTTTATTTTTTGGGTTAAAAAAAGTATAATTGTTGAAATGAAATTTGAATTGTGAATTGAAGATCCAATTTTTTAACAAAAAATAACAAATCAAATTGAATTCTAAGTTTAAGAATATAGTTTATTAGTCAAAATTTAAGTGTGATTTATATATAATTTTGTAAGGAAAATATTTAAAATTTAAGATATCTGAAGAACTTTATACTAATATTATAAACAAGTATAGTGCTGTAAACTCAAAGTATATATTACATTTATGAGAATTCCGTAAATATGCAAAACTTTAAACAATCTTAAGTTAATCAAAATACAAATTATGAGTTCATCGAAGTGAATTGTAACTTAGCCGTAGTGTGCAATTTATTACTGCAATTTATTTTTAATTATTAAAATTAAATAATTTTGCTATCCATTTTTTCCAAGTCACAAAGTATTAAGTTTAAAGTGTAACTGCATTATATATATCTTTTTGAAAAATCTTTTATTAATATGTAACTAAAATAACATTGTTCAATAATAATATATGTAAAATCCTCATAGATACAGTCTAGAATCAAAATCAAAGCGGACCAGACTGAAAAAAAAAAAAAAATGGAGAAAGGTATGCATAAATAATAATAATAATTAACAACACTTAAATACAATTAACATAACTCTTGTAATACCCGGCCTCCAAAATCGGTCCGATATAATTTTTCTATTAGATTAATTATCTAATAATTATATATAAAAATAATTATTTAATTTAATTTATTTTTATTTAATTAATTTTTTTTTAAAAAATGAATTAGGGACGAAATTGAAAATAAATTTAGAAAAAATTAATGAGAATTTGAGTTCGATGAGTGTTTTTGAATGAAAAATTAAAAAAAAAATGGTCAAAATATAAAAAAAAAAATTCGACCACGTGAGACAGCCCAGTCAGCAGCCCCCACGAACCGAAACACGCTACATGTCAAAACAAGCTGACGTCGACGCCATGCGGGAGATCCGCATGCCCTATGATCCGACGACCTATGTTTGATCCCGCACGCGTGAATGACTCATATTCGTTTCTTTCTTAGGTGCAATCAGACAGAAGAGATCAATCAATATGAACAGTTCAGATTCGCCCACGCAATCGGCCTAAACAGACAAAGATCGGATAACCCTCCTCGTTTCACGTCGACGCAAATGGACGGTCCAGATCAACCGAGATTGATAAAAAATACCTCGCATCGCAGGGGACACCAAACTCTGGCCTCCAGCCTCCCCCAGAGAAGAAGGCCGACTGCCGAATGCTGTTGCACTAGAGCCACCGCCGACCACCAAAAAAGGTAAAATTTCTTCCTACCCGCTCGAAATTCAATTCCAAGCCTCCCTGTGGCCATATTGGAGTAAGAGACATGACAGGTGAGCTGAAAACCACTGGTAAAACTCGGCGGAACCGTTGCAGCCAAAACCTAAAAATCCCGCTGATGAGCCCCTTCCCGCTTTCTATTTTACGCGATCTTTCGATCATTGTGTTTACTATCATTTTTTGTCAAGGTTAGTCGAAGAAAGAACCCCAGCTGCGAAGGAGAACCGGCGGAGCCGCCACACCTAGAGACCCTCCACCGATAAGTTTAAGTTTTTATGATTTTTTGGCCAACAGAGGCCCCATAACATATTTTTTCACAGTGATACGTATAAAACCGGCCAAAATCGACCGAAACTAGCTAAAACTGGACAGGTCAGGGTGAACCACCATTGTGGGCGGCAAAGCTGGCACTGGAGAATGGTGGCATCACCGTGCTGGAACCCCAAAATTGGACGAAAAGAGTTTTTAACACCGATTTTAAATTTTTTTGATATTTTTAAATATGTGAGGAGTGTTTTAAATTTCATATGAAAAGTTCAAGAAATCCGGGACACGTTAAGAGGCATAGTAAACAATGCGACGTCTCAAAATACCAATGTAAGTAAGGATCTTTCATTTTATCCGTCGTTATGGTAAAATAAGACTTAACGATGTATAATTTTATATTTTTATAAAAATTTAGACAAACCTAAAAATAATTACAGGTCACTAGTGAAGGCGGAATTAGTTAGTTCATAATTGTCCTGATTTCATGTTTATTTTCTTGTGTTGTCCTACTTGTTTGTTAAAATATTGTGCACGTTCTTAATTTATAGTTTCTATAGTCTTATCGATTTATGTAGCTTATTCGGTTATCTGGTTACTCGATTTCTTGTTATAATAAACTATATCATTTACATAAATGTCGTCTAATTGATCTGTAAATATAATATGAGATATTAGTATGCGTTTGTTGGTTATTTTGTTGATGAAAATCTTTATGTAAAAGACTTACTGGGTACCGAAGGATAGGACGGACTGACCCGGTATATAGAAAACTCTACCATGAAAATTACCTGAATCGAACGGAGTTGGAAAGTTCTTAACCAGAAAGGTTTGGAAGATATGGTTTACCCTCATACCGGACGGGGTATTGAGGCGATTAAATGTTTAGTGCCCATTATCGGACCAGGTATGAGGACGGCCGGTTAATTGTTAAAATTGGATATTGAGTTCACGAGTAAGGAAACATCCCTATGGACTTTTAGGGGTACCAGTAAGCAAGTAAGAGAGAAAAATTGTCATATCTTGTTCTTTTATGCATTAAAATGAAAAATAGTATGGATATGGGTTTTCATAAATTATTTTTTTAGAAAACTCGTGTTAAATCTAGTTAACTAAAGTAATAGCTTCATTAGTTATTTTTCTAATTTTTACTAATCTTTACTTTTCTGTATTAGTGAGTAGTGTAATATTCTTATTGAATTAGCATACCTCATCATTTTATTAATTATTTGAAATCAAGAAGATCAGGATTCAGATCCCGATTAATAAGAAGACTGTGAGTAGTTTACATCCTGTACCTCTTCAAGAACTAGTAGAGGTTAACCATAAGACATTTATCTATTTGTTTTAAATTATTTATTTGCTTTTTTTTTTTTACGATCCACTATAGTAGCGACATTTTTATAATTTTATTGAGCATTCTAATTTATTGTGTAAGAAATATAAACTTTAAGATATTATTTACTTCTGTATTTAAATGATAAATTTATTTTCTTTAAAATTATGAACTTTTACAACTTTAGTGGTGTCATACACACAAAGAATACAAAGTGCATACATAAACTTGAGGATACACACACAAAACAAAAGGCACACATATTGTAGGTGTGAAAAGAGTTAAATATATTTTTTTGGTCTTATTGGATAATAAACAACCCTATCCATATAAAATAATGGAGCTGTTAAGAATAGCAAAGTAGGCCTTAAAGATGTCATGGAAAATGGGTCTCATGATGGATGCAAATATGTTGGAACAACACATGGCTTGTTCCTCTTATTATTCTTTAATTCTAACTTCTTTGAATTGTTTATGACACAACATCTCATTTCATTCATACATATATATATATATATATATATATACATATTATATGCTGTATGCTTTTCACTTTACCCATTTCTTTCCTTTCCTTTTTCTGCGGTTACTTCTACCATTATTCTTCTTCACTTGTTTTCACTTACAAGGGGAATTGTAGATACACACACACACACACACACACACACATATATATATATATATATATATAATTATTGGCTCAAGAAATTATAATTTTGCATTGCGAAGCAGCCTGTCCTAAAAACCTGAAATTGGGAGGAAATTAATGAATAGGGTCCACAAATGAAATTGAAATTATATGTTCAGAACGCTGTTGCCATGCATATGGACTACTTTTAACTTCATTTTTATATTAATAATAATAATAATAATAATAATAGCCTCATTTTAAGGCATGCAGCAGAAATCTCTGGCATATAATATTATAATGTAATACAATTCAAATATGATGATGGCCATATAGCTGTATGGCATTACCCTTCCCAAGTTCCAAAATTTTGAATCATCATTGTTTGCATTAGTAGTATCCGTATAATTAATACTGTCTTAGTTAAAACAATTAAGTTATTTTGAAATAATCTTTTCATTAAAAATATAATATAAGAAATTTTTTATAATTATATTTAATTTAATCATGATAATTTTATGAATAAGTTTGAATTTCAATAAAAATATAGGTCCACTGCTTTAGGGACCATTTTTTTAGCTGTCTCATCAGCTTCCTCCACACAGAATATAACAACTGGCTTGGATGGGTGTGTGTACAGGAATCTTTTGGAGATGCCCTGTTTTAATTTGATTAAGCAAGAAAATTAATGGAAACTAATTAATTAAGCTTTAATATGTTGATTAAGCAGATTAATTGAAGCAAGCAAAAGTGATCGGTCGGTCTCCCTCAAATCTATTCTTCCAGCTTGGAATTTTGGGACAACAAGCCATCAACTCCTTTAGCAGGAAGGGAACATGGCAAGTGGCAAGCGGCAAGCCTACCCCCCAACGATCACTTTCTGCTTCCAACCACATTTTTCAATCTTTTATCTCTAAACAAGTAGAAAAATATGAATTTTTTTTAACGTAAAAAATTCATATATTTTTATGTTTTACACAACATATCCTATCACAAATAAAAATATAAGAGAAAAAAAAAGTATCAATCGTTCATTAAAAAAAATTAATAGATAAATATATAATATTGTACAATTTGACTCGAATACACAATTTATAATTTTTTATAAAGTAAAAAAAAAAATATACCAATCATTCAGCAAAAAAACTAACAAATAATAAATTTTATAACTATTTATAATACACTCAAAAAAAAAAAAAAACTAATTTTTACAATTGTAGATAATCAATTGTTAAATTTGGGTTTTGACAGACTGGGTAAATATTAGATAATTTTTTTTGTAATTTTTGGTCGAAAGAAAAGCAATAAGGTTTATAAAAAGGTGCATGGGCAGACCTCCACCCCACCATGTTCCTAGTTTCCCTCATGCCTGTCCCACACCTCTCCATTTTATAAACTCCCATCATTCTTCCCAAACCCCTTTAACTCTTCATAACTTCATCACATTCCAATTACTAGACAAAAAGAAAGAATCATGTGCTCCTCCAATTCTAATCTTCACAAACCCAATAACACAGTTGCTCATATCAATGGCCGTCCAGTTCTTCAACCAACTTCCAACCCAGTTTCCAAGGGCGTAATTCACCGCACAACATCTCTCCAAAGTCTCGTGCAATTAAGCCTTCATCTTCTCCACCCATATCTCCAAAGTTAATTAAATCTCCAACTCCCAAGTTAAATAAATCAAAAGATCATCATGATCAGCTCAACTCTAGCTCTGAGTACAGCACCATTATCATCTCTAAATCTGCTGGGAATGCGATTCTTAGCAAGTCTAGGAGTTTTGGGGCTGTTGAGTCTCTTCCTATGGTTGCGAGCCCAGGAACCATAGCTGCTGCAAGGAGGGAACAGGTTGCAATGATGCAAGAACAAAGAAAGATGAAGATTGCTCATTATGGAAGAACGAAGTCTGCCAAGAATTTCAAACCAGTTGATTCATCCGCCATTGTTACTGGTGCTGATCAAAACAAGAAAAGATGTAGCTTTATCACTCCTAATTCAGGTATATATGCAATTAAAGATTGAGTACTTATGAGAACAACAATGAAGATGACCAAGGATTAATGAAGGTATTGTGTTTGTGCAGACCCTATATATGTTGCTTACCATGATGGAGAATGGGGGGTACCGGTCCATGATGACAAGTAAGCTATTACTCTGATCTGAAACCTTCATCCTCCCAAGAAAGCATTAATTTAAACTGAAAAGTAGTGTAAATTGTACAGCCAGTTGTTTGAATTGCTGGTTTTGACTGGTGCTCAAGTGGGATCAGACTGGACTAGTGTTTTGAAGAAACGGCAAGTTTTCAGAGAAGCCTTTTCTGAGTTTGATCCATCAATGGTAGCCAAATTCAGCGAACACAAGACAGTATCAATTGCTGCTAATTATGGGTTAGATATAAGCCAAGTTCGAGCAGTTGTTGATAACGCAATCCGAATTCTTGAGGTAATTAATAGTTAATTATTAGTTACCCGTTAATAACAATATAATTAATCAATTTAATGAGTAAACAATTCAATGAAACTGTTCTAACAGGTTAAGAAGGCTACGGGTTCATTTAACAAGTATTTGTGGGGATTTGTTAATCACAAACCGATGGTGTCTCAGTACAAATCAAGCCAGAAAATCCCAGTGAAGAGCTCGAAATCAGAAAGCATAAGCAAAGATATGGTGCGAAGGGGATTCAGATTCGTGGGTCCGACTGTTGTATATTCATTTATGCAAGCCGCCGGTCTGATCAATGACCATTTGGTGACTTGTCCAAGACATCTGCAGTGCATAGCTTTGGCGTCTCATCCGCCCGCAGCAGCGCCGGCTCTATAGAATCCACAGATTAACAACTTACGAACAATAATACCATATATATATATATATATATAATTAACATATGTAATGCCCAAGAAGCATATACATATATATATATATATATATGTTTGTATGTATACTTTGAAGTGTCTGACTAATTTAATTTACAGTTGTGAAATAGTGGTGTGATAAGGCGATTATAATGGAGAGACAGAGAGCATGTGCTGGGGTTAATCATCATCCGTCGTCTCCATTATCTGATTCCTTTAAACTAAACTAAACTCCCTGAGCCTCATCAACCATAGTTACTGCAGGGTTTTCTTTTTTCTTTTTTTTTTTTTTTTTTTTTGTAAAAAATATTTGTTTGTTGGATTATCAATAAGATTATATATTATATTTTTTTTTTGGGAAATTATCAGGAATTGTAAGCCTTTGTATGTATACATATATATATATCTTTTTGAACCTGATTAGAGTAATATTTAGTAATTTAACAAAATACACACACACACACACAAAGAAAGAATACATTACATAACAAATTACAGAAAATCATGGAATACAATCATCTTACTCTAGCGCTTATAGTAAAATATCAGATTATTGGGTAACATCAATGCTTCTCTGCTAAGTACATCAATAATTTATTGCAATATCTACAAACTCAAAGAGAAAATAATTGAGTCCAACTAAATAAAACTCAAAACTTTAATATAGGTATTTTAATAATTTATTATTCTCGTCTCAATATATTACCTTTAAACTTATTCATTATCTACTATCAAGCAAGATATCGGTATTCAATTTAATCATACTCAATTCGTAGTCTTAATCTTGAAAATACAATTATCTTTTAAGTCATTATAATTAAAAAGTTTCACATTTTTTTTATTAGTTTAATAAACTTGTAATATTTTTTATACTTGCAAATAGCCTGTCTACATCCTCCCAAAATGAATTATCCCGGGCCGCTCGGTTTAGTGGGGGTCTTCCTCTCCTCATTTCTCTGCACCTGCATTTCATAAGGAATGGTTGAGTAACGGTTTATCGGTGAATATTTCTCTAAGCATTATTGTATAAGGGATGGGTTCGGGGAACGCGGCTCTGATACCAACTGTAACGGCCCCGGAAATTTAGAATAAAATATGTGTATTAAAAATGTCTAATGCGGAAGCGTAATAAAAATTTTGATTAACATCCCTTACACAAAAACCAAAAACGTGCTCAAAATATAAAAGAACAAACTAACTAAAAGAGATACTCGAAAATAAGAACTATAAATATAACTACGGAGTCTTTAAACGTCCCCTTCGCCGTCTTCCTGCGGAAATGGCTAGGGAACAATGTCTTCCTGATCTGAAATGGTTAAATAAGGAATGAGCTACACCAGCCCAGTAAAGACATCACACTATCTCACCGCCACGGAGGTAAAGGTGGGTAGAAAACACAAAAAAGACCAATTGAGTATAATTTATAACAAATTCTTTTACCAATAATAAAATCCTTTACTGTCCACTTACCTCGGTGAGATCCATAAAACAACATATGAAAGCAATAACATTATCATCATCATGAAATCATATGAACTGTATAACATAATACTTACCACGCCTTTGCATTTTAATCATTAAACAATACATTTTTTTCATTTACCAGTCTACTAGTATCCATGGGGATCCATAGGGGTCCCGCTACCCGTGAACCCTTAACATTTACAACCTGATTCCAGGGCCGTCCCCATACCCCGTCCGGTATGGGCGCCAAAACCATGAACCTCAATACCCCGTCCGGCATGAGGGTGAAACGGGTCGTCCCCATACCCCGTCCGGTATGGGCGCCAAAACACATAAGGTCTCTATATCCCGTCCGGTATGAGAGACCACGTTCCCGGTAGGGTTCCCTACGGACCCGGTCCGTCCACCATCTCCCAGGATATCTAGTCAGGCTGTCCACATTATCCATTTATCAATTCACGTAACCTTTTATTCCTTTTTTTCTCAGTCACCATCATCAAATCACACACAAACATGCAAACCAGTAGTTTATGCCAAACAAGACAACACACAACATCGGGTTCTCAGTCATTCAACTCATAATCAATAAAACAGTGATATATGCACACGAAACTATGAAATGAAAACATCAGACATTATACTGCATTTAAAACTGTAAAATAGAACAAACAACAACTGACCGACAAATACACCAGACTCGGGCTCCATTAGTGACCTTAAACAATTTCACACATCTATTGATTCATGAAATACCGTTTTATCATTTATTAAACTTTAATACCGAATAGGAAATATGGTGATGGGTCCTTACCTGTTTCAGGGTCTTAATTCGACTCCATAGTGCGCCTACAGACGGTCCCTAATTTTCTCTGAATTTTTTCTAGGAAACTGAAACGCACTACTAGTACCTGCACGTGTCCCAAAAAATCTCAAATTAAACCTAGGGCCCCTTTCGACCAATATCGCAATTGCGGCACGGCGGCTCCGCCGTGCTCCAGAGATCGGGTTGGCCGTTTTCGGCCGAATTCGGCCACGCTTGCATCGGTCCTTGTGATAGAACAACCTTAGGGCCCTCGGTGGGCTGAAAAATCACGAAAAATCGAAACTTACCGGCGGCGGTGCTCTCGGGTGCGGCGGCTCCTCCGGCGTGAGTCGTATTTTGATGTTTGGCTCCGATCAACTTGTAGAGAAAAGAACGGTGATCACAGTGGTATAAAATTTGCATCAAACGGAGGCCGGGAAGGGCCTCATCGGAGGCAAAAATCGAGGGGGGCCGCGGCGGCGCCGTTGGGTTTCGGCTGGGTTTTCTGGCTCCGGTTTGGCCATAGGCGGACTCAGCATCGAAAAACGAGCAGGGAGGAGAAAATTTACCTCGATCAGTGGTCGAAAACTTCCCCAGTGCGGCGGCGGGTGGCGGCGGCCGGCTCCTCCGGCGTCTGGTTTTTTTTCTCCGGCGAGCACTAGCGGCTAGGGTTTCTTTGGTCAGGTATGGGTGGGGTTATTT